ACTTAAGTTGCCTTTTGTGGTCCCAATTACAATCTCATTGAATGCTGGCAATGAGAACTGGCAACTGAGATAGAATGCTAGAATGTGAAATTATTATAGACAGCTATGTTAGTCAGAAGTTTTATAGGAAGTCAGATAGGGATGGGCCCTCAGCAGAGAGTCAAGACACAAGGTGAAAACATACTACAACTGTGATCAGAGATGAATCAGTCGGAGGCCAGACCTCAAGATAATAATAAAAGGACCAGGCCTACATACTTTCCCAAGGGATAAGTGATAACACCTGGTCTAATAAACTCTAGATAGGTATCAGTCACCTCAGTGGGCAACCAAGACCTCGAGATCCATCACCTATCCAAGTTCTTTATTCTTTCCATGCACACTTGTTTTGTAACTTGTTCCCCTATTGCCTCATTATTACCTAAGCAACTATACTTGTAACCATATTGGCTAATTATAGCTTTAACCCATGTTGTACCCACATGGTTTGTGCTCTATAAAACTTGGCTGTAAAGTGGGATCCTTGGCTACCCATTCAGGACCCCTCCTACCTCTCAGGAGCCATCCTCTCAATAAACCTTTTCTACTCTTAACCTCTGTTGTTTCTAGAATTCATTCTTCAGTTGTAGAGAACATGAATTCAGTGTATCAAACACCTAACAGGTTGGGAATTATATTTCCCTTATATCCTATTTGGAGGTCCTGATTTCATCCCTCTATCAAAATTACTCCCTCTTCCCCCTCTTCATGTGAACTGGGAATGAGATGCTTAACATCTCAGCCATTAAGGAAATATGATCTACAAAAGCAGTGAGATTTTCCTTCACTCCCGCTATGGCACCTATTATCAGTACAATTTAAGGAAACAAGTGTTAAGGCTACAGAAAACCTGGAACATATACACATGGTACAGGATCTATGTGAAATACTTAGGCATTTTTTGGGGGGGGAAATAAGTATAGATTTATAAACAGCGCTGAAAAAAACCTTTCTTCCCTTTGAGGCCTAGGGTATGAACAGCTTCCCTCACCACCAATGATCCTTAGAAAGTGACAAAATATACTGATAGCCCAAGAAGGACAGAGGTATGGATTCTTTTCCAAAAAAAGGTAAAATATATGGCTGAAAGTGATAAAGCAAGTATGAAGAGCTGCATCCTCTCTCTGCCACCTTTCCTTATTATAAAACACCCTTGCCCATCTGTAAACAGATGATGTGAGGAAAATGGGTCACTCTAACACCTTGAAGCTAGCTTTAAATAAATCCTTCTTACCCAATTATATGCCCTCCTTTGGTGTGCTCAGTGACAAGCACCCTATGAGCCTAAGTGGCTGGTAAAACTTTGGGTGACCACAAAGCAACATTTGTCCCTGCTCCTGAGAGCCATGCATCCTAGCAATCACTTGGGAAAGAGACTGCTTGCTCATGGCTAGCTCAACCTGCTCTTGGGACTTCAGAGACATGCCGGCACCTACCTGCCAGGAACACCTTCAAACCCTGAAAATTCTCCCTTTTCCCATCTTCTGCATAAATCTGCCTATAAATGCTTTTGTTCATTAATAAAAAAATGGTTTCGGAAGCTCAATCTAGTACAAGTTCCAGGTTCCATCCTATTCAGAGCTGATGGGCTCTGCCTGGTTTCCCCCTGAAAGTGTGCTCCAAGGATCTACTCTCTGCAAGTTTGGACCTCTTTTAGGTCATTCAGCAGTGCCAATTGGGTGGGGCAAGGACCTTCACTCTTTGGGGCCATTCAGATCTATTGCAGGTCATTTTGGTGTGAGAAGAGATTGGCGTGAGGAGAGATTCAGAGGATAAAGAAAAAAATTTCCAGACATTTGTTTTGGTTTCATTTGGTTTAGAATATTCCTTTGCTTTGGTCCACTTTGATATGCTTTTATTTGCTTTTGCACTTGCACCATTGAGGTAAATCCCCAGCATATTTTTCTCTTCTTATAAGCATTTTTATTCTAGGATGAGCAGCAGAATTTCATTCAGTACCACCTAAAATTATATCAGCCATTTTGGTTTCAAGTCATTCTGAGGTTTCTTTCTGAGCCAATATGGAATTCAAGGTTCTTGAGTCATTTGTCCACAAAATATTAGAATAAAATTTTTAAAATATAAAAAGAACCCTGCTAGTGTGTTTAAAAAGCTCTGTTATAAACTGGTCAAAAATGAAAATGCTCATGCCACTTTGCAGCTCCCTAATAAAGCTTTAGTTATCTATAACTTAAAAGGGGTGTTTATTCCCTCATTGTTGAAAGTAAATGTACTTTTAGGGTGCCAATACTAGTGTCTCAATAAGCATATGATTATATTAAGGTAGTGGTAGTGGGAAGATAATCTTGATTCCATTGGGAAACAGGTTTTCATAATTTTATTGGGAAAATAGATTTTCCTGTACTGCTGAAGTTTCTTTTTGGTAAACAGCATCTTTCTAAAAGAAAAAGCATGAAGGAGAAATTGAGGTATGTATAGAGTATGTCCTCAAATGACCAGCATTGCATTCATGGATACTGTGCATCTTGCAATGAACAGTGTGGAAGCTGTTCATTTTTCAACCTGAAATAAAATACTTTCAAGAACTTTAAAGAAAGGGGTGGGGTGAATTTATTGTGATACACCATATATATGAAAGCACGCTGATTTCATAGGGATGTCTTTTAAAAGATTCATTAGGGCTTGGGATTTAGCTCAGTGGATTAGCCGCCTGCTGCACAAGTGCAAGGACCCGAGTTCGATCCCTGGTACCAAAAAAAAAAAGTTTCATTAAAATAAGGTCGGCTAAGATACAGATATTTTGCCTTTGTGTTTTTATTTGTAGGGAATATTGTTTCTAAATTGGATTATTTTTCATATTAGATAAGACACAAATTTTTGACCATCTATATGTAAATGCCAACACAATAAAATGTCTTAAATTTTCTAAGATCTATAATAAATTAAGGTAAAGAATAAAAGCTTCAAAAAA